GACCCCGGATCCCCCCGGAGCAGCAGGAGGCACGGCCCGTCAGCGGGAGCCGCGTCCCGGGACCTGTGAGCTTTGCTGTAGTCGCCCACGTCGCTTGCCTTGTGTTTCTCTACTGTAAGGAATTAAAGTTTACAAGCACACGCCCTCTCCATCTCTGCCACCTCAGCCAGGTGCTGGAGGCCCGCGGCCGGCCGCCTGAGAGGAAGGAGCCTGTGTGTGTGTGTGTGTGTGTGTGTGTGTCCGGGCGGGGGGCGGGGTGGGCCTGGCCTGGCCCAGGGGAGAGAGCAAGCTGGGGGCGGGACGTTGAGGGCCCAGCCGTGACCTTGCTGGGCAGGGCCTTGGAGAGGGGTCTGGAGTCCAAGATCAAGGTGGGGGCCTTGGCTCCCGGCTCCCGGCTCCCGGCTCCCGGCTCCCGGTTCCCAGTTCCCGGTGCTCTGCGGGCGAGAACGAGCCCTCGGGGTTTCATATGGGGCAGCAGCCACCTATGGCCACCCAGCCTCATCCGACCCGCTCACCCTCCAAAGGCCCAGCCCCACAGACCCTCACGCTGGGTTAGGGCTCAGCGTGTGGACTTGGGGGTTAGGGGGGGGATAATTCAGTCCGTAGCTCTGAGGCGGGAGGAGGAGGAAGCCAGTGGGGGTGTGGCAGGGAGCTGGCGGCCTCTGGGGCCCGGGGTGACGCCCCAGACCTCTGAGGAGCTAGGAGCCCCCGAGAAGCACACCGGCCCGCGCTCCAGACCCGCACTGCGGCTCTCGCTGCCCCGGCCCCCGGCGCTGAGAGAAGCTCGGCCCAGGGGAGAGGGACGCAGGCTCCGGGCCCAGAACCGCCCCTCGCGGCCGCAGGGGACCTCGGGGTGGTGGGGGCCGGATCTAGGGAGGAGGAGTGGAGGTGTTCGGGAGCCCAGCGCCCGCCCAGGCAACACCAGTGGCCTCGTGCATTTCCAGCGCCCAGACGGCCCCCGGCTCCCGACAAGGGTGGCTACTGTGGTGGACATGGGCTCCGTGGGGTTCCAGGCCTGCCCTCCCCCAGCCACCAGCCCTGCCCCCCAGGTCCCCCCCTGCCCTGCATGGGGAGCGTGCCTCCAGCTGCCCCACAGCTGTGCGCGGTGAAAAACAACTTTTTCAGAGCCGCCAGCTGCCACCATTGTGCAACCTCCTGGCTTTTAACAGGTCCCCCCCCCCCATGAGTGGGCTCACAGCCACCCTGCCTGCCTGTCCCGGAAGCTGACTAGGCAGCACCTGCAGGGAGCCCCTCCCTAGGCACCCGGAACCCGACAAGGACCAGGCCGGACGGAGCGTCCAGGTCCCCGTGTCCTAAAGCCCCGTGGGACAGAGGCGGAGACTGAGTCCAGCGAGAAGGACGGGGTCACATGTGAGCTGGTGGCCGGCCTCCGGGGGGCAGGGCGGGGCTGGGCAGACAGCTGTGGCCGCAGCTGCGCAGCACAAACATCCGCCGGGGAGGGCGTGGGGGGCCAGGGCCTGCAGGACCGCCGTGTCCTGTGAGCTCGGGCCGTGGGTCAGCGTCACCCGTCCAGAGCCCCTCCCCGCCCCCCGGGATGAGCGAGTCCAGAGCAGAGTGACCGCAGATGGAACTTCTGGGGGGGTCAGAGTGGAGGGAAGCTGGGCGCCTGGTACTGCCACCCTGGCCTGAGCAGTGGGGACGGGGCGGGGCCACCTGCCAGCAGCCGCCTCAGCTCCGCGTCCACACAGTGTCCTGCTACAGGGACTCCCCGCCCACACCCTGCGGGCAGCAGGGCACCCAGATGAGCATCCGCCACTCACAGCCCCGGTGGCTGCCCCGCTCGGTCCCGGTTGCCAGGCCCCGGGGGACCCACTGCTGCTCTCATTTCTCTCCTCTCTCTCCCCTCTCAGCCCCCACCTTTGTGCAAGCCGCTCCCCCGACCTGGACCCTCTCCCAGGCTGCCCTGACCACACCCACTGACCACACCCTCTGTGGCTGGGCTGACAAAGGGCCCCAGAGGGTCCATGTCGTAACCCCAGGACGTAGGGACGTACCCTCACATGATCGAGGGGACCTCGCAGCCGTGGTCAGTGAAGGGTCCCGAGGTGGGCGGTCACCTGGATTCTCCGCATGGTCCCCCCATCCCCTCCCCCCTCCCCCGGGTGCAACCCCAGGGTCCTCGTCAGCAGGAGGCAGGAGGCCGGAGGAGGGGACATGGTGACGGAAGGAACGGGCCGGTGAAGTGAGCAGCGGGCGGAGGGACCTCCAGAGGCGGAGAGGCCGCCTTCTCCCCGAAGCTTGTTATCCACTTACATTTAGATTCGCAATCCAGCCCGGGCCCGTGTGGCTCAGTGGATAGAGCGTCAGCCCACGGACTCTGGGCTCGACCCTGGTCAAGGGCACGTACCTTGGTTGCAGGCAGGAGGCAACCAATCGATGTGTCTCTCTCTGTCTCCCCCACTCCCTTCCACTCGCTCTAAAAGGCCATGGGAAAATATCCTCAGGTGAGGATTAACAACAACGAAGTGCTAGTAGGTACGCAATGCAACGGGCACTGGCTTTGCGCAGGGCGTGGGGAGCGCTCACGTTCCGTTCTCCCAGCTGGGCGTGGGGATAGCTGATTGTCCCCTCAGCCATTTACTTCACAGGCAATTCTTCCCTCCTCCGTCATCAACCACGCTCCGTCCACGGGCACGTCTGTCCCGTCTCTCTCTCTCTCTGTCTCTGCCCCAGCCCCACGCGGTCGCCACGGCTTAGCTTTGGGGAGCTTTGCTGCTCAGCACAGGGGACCGTCCCCAGCACACGCTTCCCGCCGGCGCCGCGTGCCTCCCGACTCTGCTTCCTGTGGAAGTTCATCGAGCTCCACCTCCTGTGGACGGGCCCACGGCTCTGACTCTACAGATGGGGGTGGAGAGAGGTGACCTCCGTATGCTGTTCAGGCCACCAACACGTAACAGGGGTCTCCCCCACTCACCTCAGTGGTCATTCATTTCCCCGATAGTGTTGCATCGTGTTTTGTGGAGACAGCTTGTATTTGACGTTGTAAATAGTATCCTTTACATACTTTATATTTTCTAACTATTGCTGATATTACTTCTTCTACATTTTTAAAGGTTTTTCTATACCGGTCTTAGATCTGGCAACCTTTTAAAATTCCTTGGCAATGGAACAATGGATCTACAGATCCTTTTGGGTTTTCTACATAATCAATCACATCACCTATAAATGATGATTTTGTTTCTTCCTGTCCGATCTGCATCCCTTGCTTTTACTTCTTCTTGCCTCATAACACCCGCACTCGACGGCTTGTAGAATCACCAATCACAGCCATTTCCTCTCGGTCCCGGCCTCGGAAGGAACCCTTCCCACACCTTACTCTTCAACAAAACATTTGCTGCTGGTTCTTGTCATTACCCTTAAAAAAATTCCCTTTTATTCTTCGTCTGCGAAGCGTTTTTATTACGCGTGATTACTCAATTTTTTAAAAACATGTGTTTATTGGTTTTTAGAGAGAAAGAGACACGTCGACATGAGAGAGACACATTGACGGGTTGCCTCCTGTCCGTACCCCGGGACTGAACCTGCAGCCTCGGTAAATGTCCTGACCTGGAGTTGAACCAGCGACCTTTCAGTGAGCGGACCACGTTCCACCCAACTGAGCCACCCCAGCCAGGCTGGGTGTTGAACTCTAATAGAAGCCTTTTCTGCTTCTACTAAAAGGATTAAATTAATTCACAAATAAATTACTTGTGAATTATCTGTGAATGTGGTAAAATCCCTGGATATTAAAGTATTTTATCAACCTTGCATTACCGGACCAAGCCTCATTTCACTCGGAGGTGTATCCTCTTGAAATCTCTCTGTGACTGTTTTGCGTGGGCTGTCGGTGCGGGTAAATGCAACAGGCCTGTAATTTCCCCTTTTCCTCGTGTTTGCGTTGGCGCTGGCTCCGGGACTATCCTCACCACATCTATGACTCGGACAGTGTTTACGCTTTTTCTGTTCTCCGGGAGAGTTTGTGCAAGACTGGCGTTATTTCTCTCATAAAGGGTCGG